ATAATAATAATAATAATAATAATAATAATAATAATAATAATAATAAAGTTTTTTGGGCGCATTTAAAAAACTCAATGCGCTAACATTACTATAAAATAATAGTCATTCTCAGTCGGTTTGTTGCACCCATGATAGGTCCAAAAATAATGCGACATATTCGTATTGTCGGTGTTGGACTGGAACTAGCTTTCGATGGAGGCTCATGCGGGGGAATATCATTAAAACGAGGTTGATGTCATTTGCATTCGAAAAGACCCCCTGCATCAGCCTCAGTTGCAAGTTTGTTCTAGTCCAGTACCGAGAATCGATTGTGGCCTATATTGTACAGGGTGCTTTATCCAGCGAGGGGCAACGGAACTACAATACCAGCCAATCATCATTTAGCTAGCGGTACTTTTCCCGCTCTTGCTGAGGGTCACATGGTTTGCACGAGTTCTGTCTCGTTTACGCGTCATTTCCGGCCTTTCATTCTCCTTACTCTGAATTTTGATTGGGGGAGTTATAATTAAGTAGTCCAACATATGGGACTGAAGTGATTAGTCCTTCAGAAAGGCGCAACATCTCCTCTTGAATTAACTTTCTTTAGGTGCAAAATGGAGATTAAACTACAGAATCTAATTATAACAGTAAAACACTACATTAAAGAAGCACAGTCACGGTATTTTGAGTTATTTTGGCCACGCACAAAATTACCTTTAAATTGAAGAAAACCTGAAAATAGTAGTTTACTAAGGTACATAAAAAAACAAAGAGATAAGTCAGTTAAAAATAAACCATAAAGTAACGAGTATGGTTAAAAATGGAAAAGATTAACACGGTTTACAAACGACGAGTTTGAAAAATTTAGGCTGAACTGTGAAAACCGTGACGTAGCTCCTTTAAGGCTACGCATTAAGCGCCGGTTCTGTCTCCTTCATACATCTCTGTAGTCTCCTCCGCAGCCGTGTTTTGGAATGTCACGCAACGCTCCCCCAACGCTCTTTGGGGGGAGCGTTGCGTTACATCCCAAAAAAATGGTTGCGGAGGAGACTAACATCTCCGAGGTGAAAAAACGGAGAGAAACGTTAGAGAAAAGAGGTGATACTTGGCCGTTTAATATTCTTCTCGCTTGCGCTTCAACGATGATTTATAGAATGCTTCGAGGAATTTGTCCCTGTCAATACCAATATTTACAAAGAAAAAAAAAAAGAAAGAAATGAATGCTTACCGATGAAAGTGATGTCATAAATTGCTCCTCCACAGGCGCAGCAAGCGTATTGATCATGTGGTTCGTTTTGATCTGGCGCTGCTGTCAAAATAGAATAAAATAATGTGCATATCTATGGTAGGGACGCCTTTGCTTTATATGCCAACACAATTTTTTTCATTCACACAATAAATATTTTTTTCAAAGATGCTAGGTGTGTCTAAGCATATACCGTGAAAGACCTAATACGATTTCCACGCTTTTAAGTTAGATGCTCGAACAAAACACGTTCTTATCGTCAAATCAGAGTGCTTAAATGAGACACTTACTACGTCTTCAGGGTAAATGGACTCTGAATGATATTGTTAAGGTACAAGACTAATTACTTTTCTAAATATTGCAGCAGCAATTAGCCTTTTGCTATCGAGTCAGAGATAAGAACCACCGTTGCTGTTGTCGACAATTGACATATTTTTTAAGCCGGTGCGCGTTGAATTCAGCGTTAGGTATTCACTTGTCTTCACACAAGAAGATCAACTTCAGTAAAACAAACCAATTTTTTTTTTCAGACAGCACTTCTTGTGTGCAAAAGAAAGTGACTTCGTGTTCTTTCTCCTCCGCAGTTTATACGCATTACACTTTAAACCAAGAATTCAGCACTTCTGCACGTTCGCTCTGCAGTAAAACCAAGGTTATTTCGAACTCCCCGATATGTCAACTTCAAATCATTTTCTCGTGGATGTGTATACTTTCCAGTCACTTACTCTATATCTTGTATTTTGTATACTATTACCGTTATTATTATTATTATTATTATTATTATTATTATCATTACTATTATTATTGTTATTATTATTATTATTATTATTATCATTACTATTATTGTTATTATTATTATTATCATTATCATTATTAAAATTATTATTATCATCATCATTATTATCACTATTACAGTATATTTACTGTATAACGGTTAGCTCGAACCCCTGACATCTTGAACTGTTTTTCTTTTCTCTTTATTAAGACTTTGAGATGGCGGTGTTCAAATCACCCGAACTTTTAAACTATTATACTACCTCTGACACTACACAATGCCAAAATAAATCAAGTTTTTCTGCAAATATTATGATGCAACAAAACAAAGCTGGAAAACAAGATACAAATAAACTGGTTTATATCTGGAACACTCCGCAGTGACGTCACTGTGAATCATTACGGTAAATTCGAAACTTCTTTGCTTTAAAGATTGCAATATTTATTACGTGGGGCAAGACAGTTATAGACAAACGTCTGCAAATCTAGGGTTGTGAAGAAACAAAATATCGTCTTCAAATGATTTATCTCACGTCGCTAATTAATATCAGTGGCAAAGGTCGTTTTCAAGTTTACCACCGTTATCATCAGTAATTTTCCAAACTAAATTACGTCTACGATAATTTTTTTTGTTAATGAGGAGATGAAAGACTACCGACGAAAAGAACAATCGTTTGACAAAGATGGGAATTTTTTATTGTGATCACGTGACTGTTATGGCATTGTGCTAAACAAGTTAACCAATCAGAGCATTCTTTTTTAACCAATCACGTTGGAGCAAAATCAATTGTGTTTTCCCGCGCATTCCGCCGCCGCCGATTCCACGTTTTTCCTCGACTCCAATAAGCTTGTTACGTGTTTTCCAATTTGGTGAAATGCAATTATTTTACGACAGTAATTAAAAATCGCTTTCTATTGTCGGCGCATATCCTATATCGCACCATGATAATGAACTGTTTAATTTATATCTTCCTGTCAAGTATTTTGAGATTGAAAGATTGGATATACCGTACCGAGGATACACTTTTGTGCTTTTATCAGCAATTTACCAATATATTTAACAGAAAATTTGCAAAATATCCGCTTAATTGTGCTGTTAGTCGCGAACGACGAGAAAGCGTTACTTTTTTTTGTTTTTCACATTGTAGCCTCCCTTCAGCGTGTCTGAACGGTTACAGTGAATTATCTGAGACATACATACATGCATTCTAACACAATCAGTGTCTGATGTTTCCGCAAATCAATTAAACAAATGCGGCTGACGTTGAAATAACTGCGTACTCATTTAATCATAGCATGATATTGGCTGCAATGTTTTACAAACAGAAATGTTTGCCTGTCTGTTGAATCGTAACACGCGAAGAAATTGCTTGGTTGTTACAAAAAAAAAAAAATCCGGAAAAGGCAAACTAGGAATAGTAGAGAACGACATAAAACGTCTCCCCGTCTGACGATAGTTAAGTACGGATTGAAGACAACAATGGCAACAACAATACACGAAACAATAACATTACAACAACAACCTTTAACTGATTTCACTCCAGGAAACTGTTCAGAACAGACTAGAGCCGCTAAAGTCGCCATACAGGCTTTCTCCTTTAGATCGGCAATCGAGGACAAAAAAGGGACAAAAGAAAATGAAAAAGAAAACGGAAAAACTGTATAGCACCCAGACGGGTTAATTCAAGACTGGCTCCACATTGCCTGAATTGAAGTCCGCACTTGAGGGATCATTGTTCCTATATATTCTCTTATTCCCGTTACGTCGCCGATGGGGCTATTAAGGTGTGGAAGCAAGGCAAGAAAACGCCGAACAAAAGAAAGCATCCAGAAAACAAATAAATCAAGGAATACCGACTGAGATTTCACATGGAAAATATAAAAAGTGCGCCCCGGGTGTAGTTAAATCTTTTCAGCAACTCAAGACATACTAATCGTATTTAAAGGGTAGTGTACTCACCCCTAATTCAATGTCGTGGCTTTTCACGTTTTAACTGAAAAACGTGATAATTTGTTTATGTTTCTCTTGCAAAATCCTAAGAAAAGCCATTTTGTCTTGAGCGTGTAACCGAGACAGAAACCAAACAACTTATAAATATACAGCATAAAAGACCTCCGCTAAAGAAACAAATAAAGCCCTTTGACGTAAAACAAGTTCAGTTTTGTGAAACTTCGGCCTCTTCGCTCGTCTCTTCACCGTTAGAAAAAAGGCTCAAACTTAATCTTTAAACAACTTGTCTGAAAGAGGAGTTCTTTCACAGAAATAAACAATGTGAAATGTCGGGAAAAGTTCACTTACTTCAATGTCTGCGGTAGGTGGAGACGACACTCAAAGAAAACCCGAAAGTCGGAATACCTGTATTGGAGCAGAAATCTTACACCGTTTCAAAGCTGGGCCGCCGGTGTTAAATGCCGACTCAGTTGTATCGTATTCCGTGTTCCTGAATTGCCAGGGAGATGAAATGTGTACGTATGTGTGTTGTTCTAGACTTACGTCGTCTTTATTAGGAGAGTACGTTCGCAAGACGATATTTTGAATCTTATAAAGTGAGATAAATAAAGCAACAAACGTGACATAAATCTATTTTGCTGGCCTCAGATAGACTTTACCGCT